GAATGGAAATCAAAGGTATCAAAATACTAGAAACCAGAACAATTATAATGCAAATACTAACCGTAAAAACAACAACCGGTACAATAATAGAAGCGCATCAAATAATCGTAATATACCAAATAGGTGTGTGCGTATAACTAACGCCCAGGAAAACTACGAGCAACCAGAGATGCAATTGGAGAACCATCCACTGGTTCGAAATTAAATACTGTAAAAATTCTACACCAGACCCTGTCTAACGATGATTCAATTTTCTGTTCTGAATTAAACACAATTATAAGATTACTAATAGATACTGGTGCCGAAGTGTCTATTATAAAAAACCTTAACGTTGACAATAACTCTGACAACACATACAAACTAACAGGTATAACGAGTGAACACGTACTATCCCTAGGAACATCAAAATTATGCTTACTTTTCGAAGGAATATGGATAACGCAAACTTTCGCAGTGGTAACAGAGGATTTTCCAATCGAGGTAGACGATATTTTGGGAAGAGATTTCCTAACAACATACATGGGAGTCATCGACTATTATTCTTTTACTCTAACGATACAATCAGGCAATAAACAAGCAGAAATACCAATAGTATGCAAACCAATTACTATTGAAGCTAGAACGGAACGTGTCTTACCAGTAGATGTACATTTTGATGAAGATACTGTTTTATTCAACAAAGAAATCAGTAAAGGTGTCTTCATGGCTAATACAATTGTGCCAGCGAAAGGCAATTGCCACATAAGAATTGTGAATACTAATAATCACAATGTTACTATAAATAAATTACAGCTGAAGTCACAACCCTTACAATATTATAATATCCTGCAAACGAACAATAGTAATATTAACAATAATAAACTACACAAAATTTTAGATGAATTACAATTAAGTGATGATGATGACACTGGAACGATATTGCCCATAATATCCAAATACCAACATATTTTTCATTTAGATGAAGAACAGCTGTCTACAAATAATTTCTATACAGAAAAAATTTCAACTGTGGATAATATCCCAACTTATATAAAAACTATAGGTTACCACATTGCCATAACGATGACATCAAATCTCAAGTAAAAGAATTACTTGAAGATGACATAATACAACCATCAAGAAGCCCATATAACTCACCTATACTTTTGGTGCCTAAAAAATCAACAAGCGACAGTAAAAATTGGCGTTTAGTAATAGACTTCAGAAAACTTAACGAGAAAATCGTTAACGATAAGTTTCCCTTGACCCGCTTAGAGGATGTGTTAGATAAATTAGGTAGAGCTAGATATTTTTCCACTTTGGATATGACCAGCTCTTTTCACCAAATACCCATAGATGTCAATTCAAGACCTAAAACAGCATTTTCAACAAATGATGGCCATTATGAGTTCAAGAGACTACCATTTGGCTTAAAAACTTCTTCAAATAGTTTCCAGAGAATGCTAACATTAGCATTAACAGGTCTAGAAACTGAATTTTTATACGTTGACGACATCATAATATTTGGTAACAGCCTAAAACATCACAACATTAATTTGGAAAAAGTATTCCAACGACTAAGCGATACCAATCTCAAATTAAATCCCGGAAAGTGTAACTTCTTAAAACATGAAGTCACATATTTAGGTCATTTAATCACTGAGAACGGCGTTAAAACTGATCCGGCTAAGAATAAAGTAATAGAGGTTTACCCACGTCCAACGAATGTTGATGACGTGAGAAGATACATTGCATTTTGCAATTATTACAGGCGATTCATATGTAACTTCGCTGATATAGCGAAACCATTGAATTTACTCCTTAAGAAAAACCAAAAGTTTGAATGGTCTAAGGAATGCGAAACTGCTTTTAACACTCTTAAGTCTAAACTATTAAACCCACCAAAACCACGCTATCCTGATTTCGAGAAACCATTTGTCATTACTACTGACGCATCAGACTTCGCTCTAGGTGCAGTTCTTTCACAAGGAAATATAGGCTCTGATTTACCTATTTGTTATGCTAGTAAAGCACTACAAAAGCATGATTTAAACAAACCAATAATCGAAAAAGAGCTATTAGCCATACATTGGGCTATAAATTATTTCCGTCCATATGTTTATGGCAAAAGATTCTATGTTGTTACGGACCATAGACCTCTAATCTTATTATTTGTACATAAGAATCCATCTTCAAAGATGACTAGAATTCGAGTAGATCTTTCAGACTACGATTTTGAGATTATATTCAAACACTCACAAATCTTATACCAAAACAAGATAGCGTCAAGTCCACTAGGAAGCTAGACCTTCCAAATGAAGACGAATTATTGAGACATTTGAAGAAAGAAGATATGAAAAAGATATGAGTAGCTACAAGAAGTAAAACAAAAATTGCACAAACTACGGAAACATTAAAGGAGTTACAAAGCCAATTGAGCATGATCAACTCTATTGTTGGAATTGTACATCCATTAGTGATATACGCAGAGTGAATAGATTACAATTTGTAAACAATGATAAGCTTAGAAAGCAATTTAAAAAAGGTACCATACACGTTACGAAAAACGATGTAACCGTGGTAATGAGCGAAGAACCTACGAAGCCGATTTCGATGGTGAAACTCATTGCAGACATTGAAAAGTTAAGAATTTATGAACTAGCGCTAGATGAAAATGAACTAGCGCTATTCAAAACTATTGAAAAAGAAAATTTTAAGAAAATGGTTAACCAAATACAACAAAGCAAACCAGCTGGTAATCGTCTCAAAATATTATTATATGAAGCTCCGGAACATATATCCGACAGCATGAAGCAATACAGACTTATAGAGGAATATCACAACACTCCTCTCGGTGGACACCAAGGAATAAGAAAAACTTTATTAAGATTAAAACAGAAATATACATGGCGTAAAATGAAACAAATGGTATACAAATATATAACTACTTGCGAGAAATGTCAACGAAATAAACAAATAAGGCACACAAAGGAAGAATTACAATTAACTGCTACTCCAAATACATCATTCGAAACAGTCGAAATAGACACAGTAGGACCTTTGCGACTATCAAATGGTTTTAGATACATTTTAACCATGCAATGTCCAATATCTATGAATGCCAAGATTGCCTGGGCTAAAAGCAAGGTCTCCATACCTCGATTGACAAGCAGGAACGTGCTACGAAGCGATGATGATGAGTCAGCGATGCAAAGAAGGTAAAATTTCGTGGCAACGCCACAAATGCAAATCGTTTTAGCGACATGCTGAGGGTTCTTTAATAATGGGATTGTTTTTTTTTTTTTTATTTTTTTTTGTTTTATTATTTGAAACACAATATGTACAATAATATAAATACATGTTTCATTTGACTACGACTAGTTCATACAAGAACTATCAAGCAGTTTTGTTACATTTCAGTATACTTATTAAAATTGTGAAGTTGTCAAAGACTTAGTGTTAATAGTAGTAATCTAAATTATTATTAGACTACTAATTCGGGAGTAGATCTGAAGGCTTTGTTCGTTTAAGTCTTCTCAGCAGGCCAGATGTATTAGACAGATGGTTGACTGTCTCGTTTGGATGCTGTTGTAATCGTTTTTGGTGCTTTATCGCGAACTTCTGGATTACTGCAGCCACAGATTCGATCTTCAAGTCCCGATGGAGGTCAGTATTCCTAATAAACCACGGAGCGTTGACTAAGTTTCTTAAAACTTTGTTTTGAAAGTTTTGAATGATTTGAATAGTGGATTTTGGTGCACAACCCCATAACTGGATTCCATACGTCCACACCGGAGCTAAGACTTGCTTGTATATCATTAATTTATTGTTTAGAGAGACGGGTGATTTGTTCCCAAGAAGCCAATATAAATTTTTGTATTTGGATTCTAATTCAACTCGTTTTTTCTTTATATGTTCTTTCCATTTCAACTTAGCATCTAAGTTCATGCAAAGGTATTTAGCTGTGTTTGAGTATGGTATTTGAGCACTGCACATATTTATCGGCAAATATTCAATTTTTTTGTTTGTGAAGTTTACATGGACGGATTTCGTTTGGTTGAGCTCAATTTTCCATTTTTTAGTCCAACTA